CTATACTGCGTCCTTTCCGGAACCCAAACTGCCTATTCGACCACATACCCCTCGTTAGCTCCTGAAGTCGTTCCACCATGATTCTTTCCAGTACTTTTCCGAGTACTGGAAGGAGACTGGAGGAGGAGGAGGAGGAGGAGGAGGAGGATCACTCCTGATCTTATCGGGGGACTTCAGGAGAGGAACAACCCTAGCACTTTTCCACTCATGTGGAAAGTATCCCTCCCAAACGCACTTATTATAAATGGCCTCCAGGTATTTCGGAATGAACTTCCACAAGCTTTTACACATCTCTCCGTTCAAACCATCAACACCCGGGGACCGTTTAGGCCTAACCAGGCCAAAGGCGTACCCCAACTCCCCATCATCTAATGGAGGAACAGGCACCTCTTGTGCTTGAGGTACCTGCACTTCCGACCTAGGAAAGAACGCACCTAACAGAACCCCCGCACACTCTCTCCACGACGATAACAGAGTGTCACCGACGCGAAGAGAGGTGACATCCTCCCTTCTACGACCCCGGCAGATCCTATAGACCTGACCCCAGGGGTCGTTCATATTCTCGTTATCAAAACTCCTCTCCAATCTTCCTCTTTAACTCTAACTAGCATCCCCTTATACTCCCTATCCGCACAACTAAATTCATACCTAAGCTGGGACAGCCTRTCAGAATTGGACCGTYGRGCGCGTTGAAACCTTCGTCTCAATCGTCTGACAGTCCTCCTCTTCAAGGTTAGCTCACGCGTCCACCATTTAATTTTGCTAACTCTAGAWCTTTCACACCTACCAAAAACCCTATCATTCACCCCCCMAACTACCTCATAGAGACGAGCAATTTGCTCGTCCACCCCCAACTCCTCAAACTCCCTAAGCGGTATTCCCAACACCGCATCCCTWACGGAGAGTCCATATTGGTTCCAGTCAGTACCAGAGGTACGCCATCGCCGCAATGGACTCTCATAAGGCAAGGGAGAGGATTGAGGGGTAATCATAATTTGAATCAAAT